TAATAACATAATTATTATAGTGCAAGTACAGGAAAATTAAAATAAATAATGAAAATAATAATAAAATAATAAGTTGTTTTTTAAATATTGAAAATTTAGTAGGCTATTTGAATTATTCGTGAAACAAGATAACATTCAACACTAAGGCATTATGTTTGACAAAGCAATAAATAGTTAAACAAAAATATAAATAAGTAAGCAAATTTTAATATTTTGACAATCATTATTACATGTTTTGAATGCTCTGTGAGAGAAAATAAATCTTAAATCTATAATTTAAACTAAGTGCATGATATCGATAACTGAAGTTTTTTTAAAAACTCAACAGTAATGAAAATATGTCATTTTTATTATTGCTGTTTTATAGTGTACATATTTAGTCTACGATAAATCACAATCCAATGAAATATAACAACAAATCGTCTGTATCATAAGAAACGGATTAGTCGAATCATTCCCTCACCAGAAATACTTGCCATAATTAATTTTGTATGAAACATACACTACCGAACTGCTGTGAGTCGAGCTCACTGATACATACACGTGTCATGTACATTCAGATCATCTACAGGTCATCTACAGGTCAAATATTAATATGAATAATAATACCCTTGATCGCCCTATTGCCACCAAAATTTTGGCAAGAATACCGTTGTCGACAAAGCATATCACGTGACCATGATTCACGACTATGAAAGAATAATGATTTGGGGGGCGTACGTATCGTGTCAAAGTCCAAGGTAACGCAATACTGACGGTTCAGTGTATACAGACTGTGTCTCTCATCGGGAGGGCAGATAAACTAAATCCACGAATTCAATGCGTCTACATAAAATTACTGACTTCTTTACGTTATGTGCACGTGACTGATCGGTGCAATAACATTCAATAACCGTGGGTTCCTTCTTTCGTTATTGTGTAAAGTAAACACATTGCTGGGCCCGCCGTAATAATAATTATGACCACTCCCTTTGTGTACAGACGAGGGACTGGGCACATAATCGCTTTTGCTCGTCAGTGAAGATTGTTCTAAACTGTAAATTTACGGGTCGCCGGTTTATTATCTTCAACGTCGGAATATTTATGCACGAACGGAGGTCTGAGAGCGGTAAGTTGCCTTGGTAACTAATTCATATTGGTATATAAACAGTATATACTTGAAACGTTTTATTTAAGTCGCACTTCAATCTTTTCTAGTGTATGTACAGGAAGTGCGATTACGCCTCTGACACTACGTAGTATCGTCCATAGATAGTAGAACTACGCAGTATCGTCTACAGATAAGACACACGATCTAATATATGCACAATGAAAAATTTGATATCGACAAAATGTAGACAATATGTATATATAAACCTGCTTTAAACATACATTAAATGGTACTTGGAGGTCAGGTCATACTTACGCGGACCTCAACGGCACAAATCAAGTCAATTGTGTGCTTTTGTTCATGCGCCATTACGGATCAATTGTTTCATGAAATGAGTCGGACCTTTCCTCTGGATACGTTGTTTCGAAGCAATCGGGTCTCTGAGCTTTGTTATCAGACGCCGAGTACGGGGGAAAAAAGGGTTCGATTGGTAAAAAAAAAAAAACTTGGTTGCAGGACACTAAACTTTGTAATTGTATCTGATCCACCCACTTCCTGGTAAAATATGAATGCGAGTGTTGAGGCGATGAACCACACTCAGAAACAGACGGTTCAGATTGAGGCGAATTGTTGTCAAATGCCCCGTACCACCAATCTTCGCATACGTTTGTACATGATTGTGAGTACGGGTTGGTGCGTCATAATTTGACCTATTCACACATGCATGCTCGGCATTACTGGAATGTTAATACAATATCTGTACAATATACCCACATCGGTTATTATGGTAGCGGATAACACAGATTGTGCGGTCGTGGTCACTTTGCGACGGGGGAAGGTTATTATTCAATTTACGCTGCTACAAGTCATTTCCGCGATGATATCAACGTCAATAGCCGCACGTGCCGATGATTCGTGTCAACATCGCTATATTTAGACTTCGACTGCAAAAAAGCACATGGATAGAAGCAAACAAGTACAACTGTCATTTTATATTAAAATACGTAGTATGTTCCATGTTGTCAACACGGTGACCAATGCTCAGTTTATAACGATGTGGTCGTCGGGCAGCGCGTGTTCGAATTTCGTGTAAATAAAAATGTATTTTACACGCGTTGTAAACGTCGCTATGAGTCCCATATCGAACAGGACGTGGCACGACGACTGCCGTCCTTTAACTTCTTATGCTTATACCATTTCAGAATACCGCCAAACCACCAAGCAGCACAACCTTAAAAACATTTCGTGGTCGGTACGATTGAGAAAGCATCATAATCATGTCTGGAGCACCACGAGTTGGGCGTTCCAGCAGTGTGCGACCTACTGTTAAGATCAAGATTGTACTGGTGGGAGAGAGCGGGGTGGGGAAATCAAGCTTACTTCTTCAGTTTGATAAGAGGAAGTTCGACGAACATAAAGAGGTGACTATCGGGGGTAAGGTGATTTCTTGCTAGTCTTGTCTCTGCTTTTGATGTGTTGTTATGGTAACAGAGGACGTTGGTGTAAACGGAAACGCTAAGATTGTCTTGTATACTGCATATATTTTCATATTATTGAAATATTATCAGAAAAATCACCGTACCTAGAGTTGATTCGCGGAATTCATGAATTATCGTAATTTTGGGTCAATATCACAGGGAGCCCAGGAAC